CTCGAGACTGAGCTTCCAATGACGGCCTCCTTCGGTCGTCCAAAGAGGCTTTGCGAGTACCCGTTTGAGGACGTACTTTGACACGAGCGAGTCGCGGCGCTCGAAGTGCTGGAACTTGACATCGTGAATGTGAATGACCGGTCGAGGTTGGCGTCGTGGCCTGTGCTGCGCGCCGTGGTCGATGGCGGCAAGACGAACGTTTCAGTCCGGCGAACCTTTGCAGAGCGCCAATTGGCTGATATCAGCTCATTTCGAGCAAAACGATTGGCTTTCGTGTTGTGTCAACATCGGACAGAAGTAGCTCTGGCGATGCGCTCGCCAACATGCAGCTGCACGTGGAGAGGCATCCAGCGGTTGCAACGAAGGAACTGTCCGTGTGACGTAGCGCGTTTGACTCGAGTGTTTGAGGATAATTCTCTCAAATCTATGGCACCGGCGCCGCCCTCGTTTGGAACGATTCATGCCAGACGAGACAAGCCATTTTCGGGTTTTGGATCTGCCGAGCGCAATGGCTCCGGCGGTGCAGTGGAAGACCAAGGTGGAGTATTTTGCGCAGTATCGGCAACTCATGGGCCATTGTCGCATGACCAAAACGTTCAAGGTGCCGGACGACGACGAGTGGCCCGAGGCCATGCGCCAGTATACCATCGGCGCTGCGGCGCACCATTTTCGTACTTTAGCGCTGACGCACGAGTCGGAATGCTTCGAGCAACTCGATGAGCTCGGGTTCCCGTGGTCGCTGGACCCAAACCATTTCAGGATGCCCGTTTTCGAGGCAGCGACGACCGGAGTCGTCCCGCGGTTTAAGAAGCATACCACGTCGGTCCTGCTTGAATGGCTTGTCCAGGCGCTCCAGACGTACCGCATTCGCTACGGTCATCTCGACGTACCCGCCACGTTTGCTGTGCCGCTTGAGGATGCGTGGCGGCCCGAGCTGGCCAATGTGGCTCTGGCGTACGCGCCGCGCGTGCTCCGCAGCCACTTTTATTGGCTCGCGTCCAACGACGCCGTCTGCTTGCGCGATCTTGGCCTTTGCACCGATCGGTTGACGTGGCCTCGCGCCCTGCGCCTCCTCTCGTGCTTCAAGAACAACGTCGGCGGCCGTAGTGTGCCCCGCGACTTTTGTGTGCCTCCGGACGCCGCGTGGCCAGCAGAGTTTCGTGGGTTTGAACTGGGCCAACAGGTGTGGTACCTCGGCATCAAGTACGACGTGCTGCCCGAGGACAAGCGTCTCGCGATCGACGAGCTGCAGTTGGTGTTCGACTCGCCAACGACGTGGGCGCGCACGGTCCGCGGCCTTTGTCACCACGCTCACGTCCACAAGGCAACGTCGGTGCCGGACGATTTCGAGGTCCCGCGCACGTCCGATTGGCCATCAGACCTCCACGGTTTGCACCTCGGGCAGCTCTACCAGCAACTCACGCATGCAATGGCGCTGCGCCTCTTGCCGCCGACAACAAAAGTGGACGTCGACGCGATTCTCGCTGCCGGAGCGGTTCGCACCGACGTTGACCTGCCACCGCGAGGGCTCTTGCCACTGGCCTCGCAGCGGCACGATCGCGCAGCTCTGTACGCCGGCATGCCGCTGGCCACTCGGCAGGCATGGATGGTCGTCGTGGAAGCGCTGGAGACATTTCTTCAACTCTTTGGGCACATCGACGTGCCGGTCGCCTTTGTTGTGCCGACGACCGCATCGTGGCCGTGGCCGCTCGCTAGTCGAGGGCTTGAGCTTGGGGCAATCACCGACTCGCTTCGGACGGTGGCGCTCGACCCGATGCAGAAGGCCTCCTTGGACGCGCTGGGCTTTGAGCTCGTCACACGCCACGATGCCACAAGCTCGGTCACTGAGGCAGCTGCCAACATTGAGAGCGACGACAAGCAACTCTACGGCCTCGCGATCCATCGACGCGTCAAGAAGTCGGCCAAGGTGATCCAGGGCTATGTCATTGCAGCTGACCCGCAAAAGTGGCCGGAGATGCTCCATGGTTTTAAACTCGGCGCCTGCAGCCATAGTATTCGATATCAAGACCGCGTTTTGAACGATGCGTTTGAAGCCAAGCTCAAGACCATTGGCTTTACGTGGCCATGCAACACGCCGAGCGCACGCTGCGTGAAGCGCACGACGGTCATGCAGGGTCTCACGCAGCGCCACGCTTTCCACGTGCACACGGTCGAACTCGCGACGTTGGTGGCGGCGTTGGAAACGTACGATTCCGAAGTCGGGCCTTTGGGTGCCATGGAAGACAACTTTGCGGTGCCCCACGAAGACGAGGCGTGGCCGGTCGGCTCCGGTGGCATCGTACTCTCTCGCGTGCTTCCGGCTTTGCGGTACCACTGGTTTGAGCTCGAACCGAACGCAGAAAAATGTCTTCGGAAGCTGGGGCTTTTCGCCGACATCCCGCCCTTCAACGACTTTGTCAAGCTTGTCGCTCGCTTTACCCGCCGCGATGAGACGACGACCATTCCGTTTGATTACATCGTCCCAAGTGAGCCGCCGCGGTCGTCGTCGCCGTGGCGTGGCGCGCCGCTCGGCGAGCTCGCGTGGACGCTCGGCCTGCGCAAGGAATGCTGGAACAAGGCGCAAACGCGTCAACTGAACAAGATCAAATTCGAGTTCAACACGCCTGCTACGTGGGCGCGTGTCGTTCGAGGGCTGGAGACTTACTGCTCGATCGTGGGCTCCATCGACGTGCCCGAATCGTACATTGTGCCTCACACACCCGAATGGCCCGACGACTTGCACGGCATGCGGCTCGGGCATTGCGTCAAGTTTCTCATGGCGGCACGGTACATGCTCATGCTCCCGGGAGACACCGACAACGCCGTGAAGGCACTCGCTGCCCAGGTTGTTTGCGCACCGCTGCAATGGAAGGAACTCGTGCTAAAAAACGCCCAGGTGCAGTGTCGGCCGTACACTGCATCTGCTGCAGCCTTGCCGAATGACGGCGTTGACGTCGGCATCCACCGACGTTCTTCGGAGCCCCCGGCAAGCCAACCCGTGTCGTCTTTGGTGTCCGATCCTCTCGACCGTTCCTCAGTGGTCCAGTGCGACGACGATGCTGCCGCTATCGTGAACGACAATGAACGCATTGCCGACGGCGAAGGCGAGAACGACGGCGTGGCTACCTGGCAGACTCACGACCGCGAGAACACGTCCTCGGGTGGTGACATCCTTGCCCGAGCAACACGGCAACCGCCCATGGTCGGCGTTCCTTCAATCGACGACGGTGATGACGTGTCGTTGCGGTGTGCCGTCCACGCCTCGACGGCTCGACAAGATACGAGCTCCCGTGACGATGACGCCGACTCTGGCTCGATGCGCGCCCTCCACCTCGAAGCACCCCAGATTGATGACGATGTGGACACGGGCTACGCTTTCGACTACGACCAAGTATGCGACGACGTCGGGGACCTACCTCGGCACCAGATCGACGTCAACGCTATCGACGAGGCGCGCTTTGCTGTCTCTTCAATCGACGACGGC